TTACTTAACACAGATTACAGACTTCTATAAAACATTGTACTCAAAGTACAAAAATATGTTTTATGCACATTCTTTAATACTGTTTTATCTCTTTTTGATATACCTTAGATAACTATACATAAATAAAAACAGTAACAAAAAGGAAAAGAAACAGATTTTTTTTAACATCTGGGACTGGAAATGGATTTTTCTGATAGCTAACTTTTCAGTAAGACATTGGAAATAGCAATGCCTTACTGCTTTGCTGTCATAAAAATAGGAGAAAAGGAATTACATGAAAGAATAGAAAGAAAATACACAATTGCATTAAATATCTAAGCCAGTGGTTGTAAAAACTGATGTAAGTGGATTTCTCTGAGGTCTATGAGCCCAAAAATATCATAGGAATTAAAACAAGGAATATAAAATTTGTCATTTATTTTTTTAACAAGGTGTTTATACTTCATTGCAAAGAAATATATATGGCTAAGGCTTATTAAATACCTTTTTGTAAACAAAAATATATTTAGAAAACTACAATAATTAATGATCAACATGTTTTCAAGTAAATTAAAAGTATGGTTATCCACTCATTAACAGTACCTACTTGTTAACCCATTACACACTCATTACTTTAAGAATCTGTCAATTCTAACTTTTAAATTCCATTTGCATCTCCAGCTAAGCCTTCTTCTCCTCCAGTTTTGTGCAGTCTTTACATTTGAAAACTTACTTTACCTAAAATAACACTAATGGTTCAAGTGTTGATTCATCTTTAAATCCGTCTTTTAGTGATTCCTAAATACTGTACCAACCTTGTGTTTCGTAATAATAGTGGAAACCTGGGGTTTAGGTCAGAATTGATTTGGGATTCTGAGCAGCAAATTCTGTGAGCTGATGAATTCATGTCCAGTTTTTAAGAATACAAATGGTTCTCTACACCTTGCACTCCACTGAGGAAAGAAGCAAGAAACACGAGGGGCTCTCAGAAAGCTCATGAAAGTGCATATTCTGGAAAAACTGAGTTGATTTTAAGAATGTTTTGCACCAAAACAAACATTTTCCAGGAAATACTGGAAGTACCTTTGTGTGCATTGGTGTTTAATTTCTGGCACAAGAACAGGTGCAAAGTAAACACAGACTGATGGTACATTCTTTGAAGAGCAGATCTGTGAATCAATAGTCATGCAATCTATAAACTTATTTAATTCTCTATATTAACAAAGAGAATCAAGGAAGAGTAAAAAAAAATCTATAAAAAGGAAAATAATCAGTTAATATTACTTTTTCATTAAGATAATCAAATTTAAGTACACGATTACATGAGAATTTTGGTAAGGAATAACTGATAAATTACCATATTAAGTTTAAATGTAAGAGAATTAGTGTTTGAATGAATTTGTGAACTCTATGTATTTTTTGAGATAAAGGACTACATAGAAAAATTTCCCTGGTTTGGAGAATAGGTAGCTTGACTCAAGGAAAAAGGGAACCAGCAAATAATCTCTATTATGCCTTGTGGATTTTGACAGGTCAGGCAGTGCATGAAAAAGTTGCCTTTCTTCTTGCTCTCTGATTTATCTGGTTCAGGGACTGCCAGATTTTGTGAGTTCCTTTCCCTTGTTAACTAGAGTAAAATTTTCCTTGTATTTGTTTAACCAAAGGGAGAAGAACTGAAGAAGTACAAGGTTGAGGCCCTCTATATATTGTATGCCTTGCTATCAATATTAAACATAGGCATTCTACTTTCTGTGTAAACACTGTAAGAAGAATCTGGCTTTTAAGTCAAATACCTTGGCAGTAATAGGATGTTCTATACTCACTTTTTACTTAAAAATTTTTTTTACATATTTTATTCTACAAGTGAAGACATAGAAACAACCTTGACTTTCTAATAATTTCAACTCACTATAGCATGACTTGCTTTGCTCTATTCTAATATTGGCAAATACAAACGTTCTGATGGACACATTACACTTTCTTTGTGTGTTTTTTAGTAAATCTTGAGTACTTTCAAGTTGTTACTAGAATCAAGTAGAATCTCAACACGAAATGTGATTGTATCCCAGGATGGAATGTTTGTTACTTAATTTTTCTGAAACTTCCAAAACATATAAAAAGCCCTAGGTTATGCTATTAACATTTGTTCTTTAAGGAATTTATCATGAAGTTCCCTTATTGTGTTATATTTAAAACTTTGTTTTCCCATCACAGGTAAATTTTACATTAGAAATTGTATACATAAAATAGCTCAAAGTCTCTGAGTTAATTTCTAGATATATTTCAACTCTGCTAGAGATCTTCATATGGATGTCAGAAGAGGATCAATGATAATGGCCTTAAGTGATTATTTGGCACATTGTTCACTTTTATTTGTAAGGTATAACTTAGTTTCCATCTCACATTTAAAAAGTTGGTGGACTGTGCTTTGAAAATAGGTCCTCTTTTGTTAAATAGTTTTTGAAGTCATATTTCGTCCATACAAGGTAGTTTTCTAGCAGCATTTTGGGTCATGTTACTCATGTGGTTTGGTATGATCCAGGGTGGGAGGAAAGCCTGAGCATCCGGAATTACTTGCTATGGCCGGTGAACATGCTTTTCTAGCTATCCTAATGCGATGACAAAGTAGTGTTAGGAGGCATTAGTCTCGTGGGGGAACATAGATACCCAGTCTCATTGTTGTTCCATTGTAGTCCTCTCATCTTAGTAACTTCAAGCTGATTTTAATGATAATCATCGACTTTTAGAACCCTATTTCTAGTTTGTGACATGTTTCTAAAGTATTGGTTAGGTTGTTTTGTTATTATCACTTGGGTGGCTAATTTTAATTTTTCCTATGAAGAATTGGGAAGCAGTGAAGAAATAATAGAAAAGGGGGTAACTAGGACGAAGTTATGAAGCTACTAAATAGGTGCTAATTTCTCAAGTCTAAATATATAAACAATGTGGAAAATTATCTTTGGTTCTACATTCCATTTTAAAGAGCCCATTTTCTGAACATTTTCAATGTAGTGTAGAATCAGCGCTCTACAGTACTTATGTTGGGGAAAAGTACGAGTAAACATAGATTGTGGTAAACGCAATGAACCTTTCCATGAGTATATTCTAACGTAATTCAGAATATTCACTAGATGTTACCAAAAAGCAGCAAAAGCCCATCGAAAGACAAATCCCATGGGTACAAATTGTATAAATTGATAGTAAAAAGGTAATACTTATGCTTTTCTTTAGGGGCAACAAGACAGTACGCAAGGGTAATGTTCTTGACACACTCATATCCTTGCAGGTTCAGATATTAATCCCCATAAAAGCTGACCTTATCTTGAGCAACGATTTTTCTCATACAAAAATTTCTGAGTTAATTATCTCTTCATTTTGATTACTTCTAAAGCTTCTCCAAGCCAGGCTTTCCATTTTGTAGTGACTAGTCAGGCAGAATGCTTTTTGCTAATTGTTTCCAAGGATTCTAAAGGAAATCAAAATTTTTATTTTTGGAATTAGAATGTTTTTTTACTTGCCTGCCCAGGGGATATTTGCTGTTTCACTGTAATTGCTCTTTTTGGGAATGAAAGCAAGTCTGAATCTAAGAATTACTTTAGGAGGAATGTTTTACTTCTCAATTTTAGAGTTATTTTGGCCCAAGCATAAATGTGAAGCCAATATGAGTTATGTTCAAAATTGTAGTTTTTATGAGATGAAAATACAGGAAGAAATATTTGGCTCTTTTTTTTAACTTTGACTTTTCTAACTTTTTTAACTTTACTTTTTCTATTAAATACTGTGAAATAAAAAGAAAAAAAAAACCCTAAGGGATAGAAGAAACAAGGAAGAATATAGTCATTCCCAAACTTAGCTGCATATTGAAATCGCCCAGGAATTTTTAAAAAGTACTGGTGCCAGCTTCTCCAAGACAACCTGGTGCATTTGGTATGAGGAGTGATGATGGCATTAAAAATTTTTAAAGCTCTCTGGGTGTTTCTAATGTGCAGCCAGGTTCGGGAACCACTGTCCTTGGCCGTGTGAGGAGTTAAATGTAAAACAGAAAACAGAATCTTTCATGAACTTGAGTGGTACGTTTGGAGCTTTTGCTATCTGATTGGAGTCAGGACCAAAAAAAATTACAAAGACTTTCACCTGTGACCGAAATTGATCTAATTTTGATTGCAGTCTGGCCTGAGTTTGACTCACAGAACTCCATGAAAGAATTGGCTAAATTTTCAACACCTTTGTGGACGTCTTTTCCTGAGTCCTGTTGCCTTTTATAAGGAGCAAGGGCGTTTTCTTGTAAATGGAAACTGTAGTGCAGTAACTCTTACACCACTAATGCGACTGGGACAGGACCACGGGACTTGGAGTATTCGTGTTTGGAACAATGCAGTCATTTAAAATCTGGCGAGAAAATAGTGTGTTCTTCCCGCCTTCATTCTGGATCTGTAGCACCCTACCCCACCCTAACCGCAGTCAGGTGTGTGGTGGGAAGACGCCAGGAGCTGAAGGGACTTTTGAAAAATAACACCCTTACTGCATTTCTGAAGAAACTTTCTGTCAGCAGTGATGGAGGTAAGGTTTACTTGTGACAGCTTCAGGATAAAAGGATGTAAGCAAGGTAAAACTGCCGGAAACTGGAAGTCTTTTTTTTTTTTTTTTTTTTTTTTAAAGGAAGATAGGGCCTTTCTCAGCACAGTTAACAAGTGGGTGAGTGAAAAAATGCATGGCTCAGTTCAAGTTAATATTCATATGTCTTTGAAGGGTAGTCCTGCACTTTAGATGAAAGAAAATAAGAGCAAATCATTTCTCTTGTTGAAAGGACCTCTTGACCAGTTTCCTAATAAGGAAAAGTATCTTAAATGACACTCTTTACATATGAGCCAAATAAGTCTGAGATGAGTGTTGAACCATGAGGAGATGTCAAACATTTTTAAATGAGAAAATGTCCTTTTATATCGGAGTAATTGTGTTCTGGGGATTATTGGTGAAGGTGTGGTGATGAGTTGGGCTACTGAGTAAGCACTGGGCCTGGATTTGTTTTATCTGTATCTACAGCCTGTCCTACTAATTTGATGGAAACCCCCAGTCGCTGCAGGGAATGGGAAAGACCTGACCTGTGGCACTGGATGGAATTTGCAGACTGCTGTGTTGCTGAGTTCAGTCCACAAAACCTTGGAGAATCGTTTATGACCCAAGTCTGTGGGTAATGTGCACAAGTTTGAAAAGAAACCTACTATTTTCCATTTGCTTCTTTACAACTGTGTATTGTGAGCCAGGAGTTGAGATTTTTGGAGCTTAGTGGGCTAGTCTGTGGTTCTGACCACACAGGTCTGCTCAGCCCCAGTTCTGTAGCCAGCTAAGAGGGCCCTCTGCATTACTGGGATGTGTAAATACACTCCCTGGCCATCCAGGATCCTTGGAAGAATAACTTATAGGGGCACGGACTCTTCAGCTTTCTGGTAAAAGAAAGGGTCCTTGACATGAATTTCAGTTAGGGATATCATTGTCATTTCACAGTGCTACAGTGTCTATGGTATACCGTCTCAGGACAGCATGCTTTACGGAAGGTATGACTTAGAACCAGCAGACTGAGTTAGAGGTTTACTTCTTCTCTGTAGAGCTGTATAGGACTTATTCTTAATTTAAAAGGAAGATGTCTTCAGAAGGCACCGTATCCATCTCCTCGGGCAGTCACTGCAAAAGTAGGATAGACCTCATAGGCTGCATATGCTGCCAAGTCTTGTCCAAGCGTTACTGCTTGCTTGAGCTGGGTTGCAGACACGGGAGCACTGGCATTAGGGATGGCATAACCTGCAAGAGGGGGCAAAGAAAGTGTCATGGAAGGATTCAAATTTGTTCCCTTTGGTTTACCATGATCTTTAGGACGAGGAGAATCTAACATTGCTTAAAGCTAAAGTGTGCTTTCAGGAGATCCACCTGTAAACTGAATACAAGCAACAGCTGGGGTTTAGCCAGCTGACACCAGGAAGTGGGATCTCAGCACAGGGTCCCACAGAGATGACTGACATCCAACTACTGGGCTATCACCTATTGCCTCCCAGGGTTTGCATTAGCAGAAAACTGGAATCAGGAACTGTGACAGGGGAGCAAGCCTCGGAACTCTAACGTGTGACACAGGTGTCTTAACTGGAATGTTTTCCAGTAAGCCAAATGCCCAATCTAATTAAGTGATTTTGAAATGGCATTTGAGAAGACTCAAAACTGTTCAAGGTGACCACTTGTGTCAGCATTCCTTCAAACTTAAAGAAGTAAAAACATGAGAGATAAGATTCAAAAAACAAATTCAGCAGGATGCAGGGCTGACAGAGACTTGTAATTTAGAACTTTTCCCCAGGTTCCAGGCAGATCTAAATAAGGGAAGGTGTGGAAGGCGGGGCCAGGCCATGGTGGAGGTTGTGCTGTGGGCCTGCGGTATGGTTCAGCTGTGACTCCTCACTTGCCTAAATGAGACAGGAAAAGCCATTGCTTTCACCCAAGAAGGATGTACGGAGACTGGGGAACCCAGGAGTGGGTGGAAAGAAACAGTAAAGTTTTAGTGTGTTTTTTTTAGATCATACTGTGCAAGCAAAGGTATAGCAGCCCCTCCAAATCCAAAACTCGGTGTGAACAGCAGGAGCAGCAGTTTGTGATCCCATCCTCGGGCTTTTCTGGCTGTCTTTAGAGGGCCTGCTGTTCACCCTTGCTCAGAGAGCCATAGCAGTGATAAAGGAACGATCCCCTGCTTTCCCATTACCATTAGGTGACACACACTCCTGGAGAAAAGAGGTTAATGACTACAACCCAGAGCAATACTTCCCTGTAAATGTTTATAGATCAAGGCCAGGCTATTTCTGAGACTTGTGGAAGATATTAAGCAAAAGGACACGGTCCATACAAGTAACAAATGGGGCCAGAATTTCCTCTTAAGCAAGCCCATTTGGTGCATGTGTGGTGAAGTCTGCCCAACTCCAGACGCACTCAATATGTTTTTCCCCCAGTGGCTTCTTAGGAAGTGGTGGCAGGAAGCCGGCTGGACTGTTGTCTTATAAATTGATTCCACTCCATGTCTCATTCAGTTTAGTCAGTAATGCTGACTAATGCACAAGTGAAATTTGCTATATATTTATGCCAGAGGAATGAAAAATGTGTTAACAATTACTTTCTTGATTTTTGTAAGCAGTATTTCTCAAATAAGCAGGTAATAGGAATGTGAAATTCTGTGTGTGTGTGTGTGTGTGTGTGTGTGTGTGTATGCACGCTTGCACATGTGTGTACAGCAACGATTTTACCCATGAGCATTTTGACCCTTTTTCAATTTGGATAACTTCTTCAGTGCAAAGCATTTGCATTTCCAAGTTTGTTTCCTGGGAGCCTAGTCTTTGTTTCCACAGACGTGTTTAAGGGAAGCCCTCCAATTCTTATGTGTTCTGCAGAAAACTCACATGCCCTAAATATTTTTAACTTCTTGCAGGAGCAAATAAAAGTGAGGATAAGGGAAAACATTCCAATAAGAAAACAAATTTGACAATCCTTCTGGCAGTGGCTCCTTTATATTTGTAGTGCATCATTCACTAGGTATCTTTGGAATATACTTTTTGGCAAAACACAGGCTCAGCTTTCTCCAGGAACTGAGAAGCCCTAGCCTGTCTTTATAGGAAAGGTGTCTTAGCCTGCTGCTCCCACGGTGACAAGCACAGGGAGTGAATCCCGCTCTGCTAGGAAGGACTCCTGCTCTCTGCTGGGTCAGTGGTCGCCTTGGGAACCTCTCGGGGACTCACCAGAGGGTCTGCGTGTTCCTCCTGGAGAAGCAAAGGTGGTGAGCGTGAAGTGTGATTGGCCTCACTTACAGTGAAGCAGTAGATCAAGTTTGAGTCCAAATGTCTTGGATGTGACGAATATAGACATTCTTATACTTAACATGCGACTGATAGATGAATGAATTATTTAAAAGATTGTGATATTTGTGGGGGTAGTCAGGACTCTCATGTGGGCACATCAGGAACATGCTGACCCAATGGCATGACAGAATGACTTATTCTTTAGAAAAAAATACAATTTTATTACTAGAAAAAAGAAAAGGAATTACTCCAACTGAAGAGAGCAAGTTTTTGAGAGACCATTCTTGCCTAGTTCCTTTTAATCTCTAGCGAATTCATTTATTGTTATTATTATTGCTGTTGTTACATTTGTAATGGCTACAAAATAACTGGAGAAAAATCTTTTAAAAAGGGTCCCCAAAGGCATGTTAATTGCAATAGGCTTTATACTAAATAGTTAGCAATATGCTTCAGGCCCCAACCACAAAAGTAAGTTGAGGCGTGATGATTCACATTTGAAAAGGATCCATCTGCCTGTCTTTGTCACTAGCATAGGCACGGTGTTTGACTTTAAATAATGGAAGAACAATGTGACCTACACATTTCTTTCAGGAAACAAAAACGTAAGTTGAAGATTAGAACTAGGAAGGAGCTCAAGGAATTGTTTCAGAGCAAAGTGATGTTGGCTGAATTATTTAATCCTATGAGTCCTCAATTGCTTCACCTGCAGAATGGACTTTATGAGCAATCCTTAACTCTTGGTTAAGTGTTATGAGGATTACTGCGATAGCATGAAGCCTGCAGAGCATTTAGATGAGTTCCATGCAGAGTGTGAACCAATCACCAGCTCTTAAAATAGTCCCCAACTCTCTTACTAAGATAAAAACTCTACCCAATTCAACCCAACCCAAAGAAACCAGACCATGCAGCTGCTTAAAGCTGAGCTGGGATTGCCATTCACATATGCCTAGCTGAGTTTTCTGGCCTCAGGCTTTCATAATTCATTTAGTCAAGTTTTTTAGTCCACATATGGCAGAGGTCTGATTTATTGCAAGTGGCATTAAGACCTTGGTACCAGGAATGCCCTCCCAAACACCGTGTGCAGGCTGCCCTTTCTGGCACCGTTCCTCATACCTGGGAAGACAGCAGCAGAGGTGGCGGCAGTGGCAGTAGTGGTCCCCACGTCGCCTCCGTCGGTGGGGATGCCCAGGGTCTGCAGTGTGTATTCAGCCGCATAATTCTTTGCTTCATCCACGAAAGCACTTAGCTTTGGTGGAGTGAAAGGGTGGCTGCAAGGCATATGCAGGGAAAGCAGGCGCTTTTAAACTTGTGTTATGGTCAATTGAAAACCTAAAGCCCCACCTACTTTTAAGAAGATTGGATGAGTTCATTTTCTTTGTTCCTAAATACACGTGTATTCAGAAACATCTGTAAATTGACGTAGAATTCAGGTGGTGGTTGACATTCTTAGGGCACATCTGCAATTCACAGCATGGCTTTTCCTAAGGTGTGTGTGGAACACACTGGTTCCTAAAATGCAGATTTCAGGTAAAAATGCAAAAGGTGTTATGTGTCAACAGAGATGTTGTATTTGTTTAAGTTCTAAATAATAAGTCATTTTGTTATTATAAAAATGGCAGTAAATATGGCAATTTCAGATGATTCAACCTAAGTACTCCATGGATAAGGGAATGGTTTGTACTTTGCATGTCTGTTACATTTCCTATTACCTACTTTATTCCAGTGATTGTGAATACTACTTGTGTGTATGAAATTTGGGGACATTAAGATGTCAGTCTCATAGCTGACAGGTACATTCCCAACTGTACCTCTCGCTGTTGACATTTTCTAACAAATGAGTAGGAAGTAGCTCTGAGTGTTGGTAGCAGCACACTTCTCTTGCAAGGGAATCTTAGCCTAGTGTGGGGATGACTAGGAATTTGGAGGAAGTACGCACATTGCCGGGTTCTGGCTGGCCAGGGCTGGGATCGTGATTTTGTACAGGAAGAGCTGCCTTTGGTCTTGTCCGATGGCAGAATGAAGCTGATATACAGGCTGTCCCCAGTTATTTTTCTGACAGATTTCCTCTAATATCTACAAGAGTTAAAAAAAATGTCATTTTTTTCCTCAATTGTCATATTGGCATTATTTCTCCAGTTTTCAGGTGTTTAAACTTTACTTTTTGAAGTCAAAGATACTAGAAATAGACACAAAATGCTGCATGGCTTAATAAATGATTCATAAAATTTAAGTTGAACTCAGTTTGAACTCTCTAAAGTGCTATATCTATTAGTTCATAAAAAATCATTTTCACACCGTTTGCTTTAATATTTTTAGTTTAGTCTGCTAGCTGTAAATTTTTGCCAGGAGCTTAATTTTATGATTTGTTTGATATATTTTTCTTTCCTTAAAAAAAATACATGCTCCAACACTATGTGGATGGACTTATTATTATGTTAAATACCTCTGATTATAACGGTTTAAAAGAAAACACTCTAAAACTATATTCTTCTTTAATGTCATTTGTCAAAGTGTTTTACTTCACATTTTCACCAAAAAAAAAAAAAAACAGTGAAAAAAGTTCAGTGGGTTTGTGTTTTCCGGTGAGCATTAGTCATGGGTGTGGACAGGGTCCGAGGTTTAGTTTCTTTGACAAGGCACCACTCCTGGCTGTTTCTATCATGGTCTGACTTGTAGCACCTGCCTGTGTGTTTCTTTTCCTTCTCCAATGAGTTTAAGTTGAGTCTTTGCTGAAGGCTGGTCTCTGTGTGGAAGTCCTTTCCAGGGTCCCAGAGCTCCTGAAGTCCCCCTTGCCAAGGAGAGCAGAGGTGGCTTCTGACGGGGTAACTGTGGCACTGAACAGGGCCCCAGGGTTTCTGCAGCTGCTTATGCCGTTTGCTTTGACAGCAATCCAGCTGTAGGAGCCTGCCATTTCCCAGTTTATTTGTGGATGGTGCCTAGTTTTGTTATCATTTTTTTCTTCTGAGCACTCTTGTAGTTTCTGGTGAATCTTTAAAGCATTCTTTATCTTCCCAACAACAATAAATTAGCTTTTTCTGGAAAAATATTAAGTAATTAGTTAGCTTTTGCTGGTTCTGTCTGCTTGTTTATGCCAGGTGTACAAACGCGGCACCCCTGCCAGCTGCTGACTTCGCAGGGCAGTCCTTGTCCTGTGCTCTAGTCCTTTGAAGTTCATAACCTTCCTGTGAGACTGCTTAAACCCCATCTACATTGCTTGAGAGTAGCATGACCTTCTACCTGTAAGCCACATTTATAGGAATTCAGAGTCAACTACAAGACAGCCACTAATTTAGAGATGGTTACAGACTTAAAAATATGTATCTATTTGAAAGGCAGAATTAGAGAGTAAGAAAGCAAGGGGTATGGAGGGGGAGGGAATGAGGGATAGAGAGAAAAGAGAGAGAGAGAGACAGAGAGAGAGAACAAATGAGAGAAAGACTGATAAATGAGTTGATTCCATTTGCTGGTTTACTTCTCAAATGACCACCACAACAGGGGCTGGCCCAGGCCAAAGTCAGAACTCTGGCACTTGGGTCATCCTTTGCTGTTTTCCCTGGTTCTTATTAGCAAGGATTTAGTTCAGAAGTAAAATAACTGGGACTCAAACCAACACTCGTATGGGATGATAACATCATAAGCAGTGACTTAACCCGCTGTTCCATAGTACTGGCTCCAGTACTATGCATATTGATATAAGGCATGATCCATTTCTAACCTCCATTTAGTATAGAAAGTACAGCTTTTCATTCATGTGATAGTAGCTCTTAGATCTGTTACACAATGTTTATGACTTCTTATTTTTCTCAAACTTTCTTAGAATAATTACTTTTGAATTAAATTTTACTTATTTGAAATGTAGAGTGACAGTGAGAGCGAGAGTCACATAAAAAAATATAACACCCAGGACTAAGGAAGAAGCTGAAAGCTTCATCTGGGTCAGTGTCCAGGGTGGTAGGAGCCCAAGTACTTGGGTCATTGTCCACTATTTCCCAGGTGTTTTCTCATGAAACTAGATTGGAAATAGAACACCTGGAAGTCAAACTAGACATGGGATACTGTGGCTTCACCTGATGCACCACACGCAACATGGCCCCTCTCCCAGCACTTTATTTAGGTTATTTTGGGTTTTACCCCAGGAGTCTTGTTGAATAATTTGGATTTATGTATTTGGAGCTAGCTCTATCCCCTTACTTAACAAATTTTATTAGAATTACTTGTTTATGTGTTCAAATTTTTCCTCTGGATATGTTTTTGATACAAAGGATTTGAGTATATTCACTTTTACATACCCCTCCACTACCTTGTATAACATATGGTTGCGTGAAAGTCTAATGAATATTTTTTTGGACAAACAGCTTGTTTATCACTCTGATAAGCATTTTTAAAAAATGTCTGGTTATAGTTAACAGAAAGTTTATATAAAGTAATATGAAAAGAAAATCATTAATTTTCCATCTTCATCCAAAAATCAACCAATGTGAATTTTTTAAAATCCAGTGTTTCTTCTTGGTTGTGATCCTAAGGCCTACTTCCATAAACTTGGAGCTTACACCGTTCTGGTGGGATGAGGAAAGCTTCCTCAGGTACATGTAGGCTGTAACTCTGATATTTTCAGCCAAAGTATATTTTGGAAAGGTCACCATAGCTTACACAGTCTTAGAGAATAATCCAAAGGTTAATACAGGTCTTGCTAGATTTTCTTGGAAACCCAGGCATTCCATTCTCATTTGGGTACAACTTTTATAGCTTTTCATTTTCTTACAATAAAAACCATAGTTTCATTCAGAAACATGGAAACTTACAACTATTCAGCAAAAACAAAAAGATTTGCCATAATGTCACTGTACAAATGGGAACATTATAGAAGACTTGTCTTGGCATGATTGATGGCACCTTAACGGAGATGAGAGTTCACCTCCATGTCAGCCTGCAGTTGTCTCTCAAGCAGAGTGTTTTCAAGTAGAGTTGCCCTGGATAGTCTTTTCAGGATTCTCTCTCTCTCTCTCTCTAATATTTTTCACTTGGCAATCAACATGGCCTTCACACCATATTCATCTACGTTGACCCCCTTGGGTCTTTTCTTGATTTGATTTTCACCATAAATATTGGTTGGAAATTCTTCATAGCTCTGAAGTCATTTGTGTTTAAGTTGAAAATTTATGCCTTATCACTTAAAAAAAAATCAAGAAGATAATGGAACAATGCCCACGCCTCCCTCAGACCACTTCATTTTGATGGGCCACTCAAATAAAACCTCAATAAACCAAATAATTTGATGGAAAGTATATGATAGTTATTGATTCCACTTCCAAGCTGTGTCTGGAATGACATTACCTACCTGGGGTGCAAGTTTAATTCCCTGAGGTTTTAAGGTGACTGGATTCATTGGAGTGAGCTCCATCCCAGGTAAAATGTCATAGAGTTTGTCTTCTCTCTTGTCTCCTTTGACCTGGTATCCTCGACCCAAGCCTGTGTATGCCAAATAGCCACGGCCGCCCAGGCCTCTCACTCCCGCAGCCCCTACAGGTACATTCATGTAAATTTCTAGGAATGTAAGAAGGCATTAAACTGAATCAAACCACCAGAAAATCACCCTGAATCTTACTGTAATGGAAAAGTTAGCCCAAGTCACATTGATTATTGCCATGAAGATGAGTGGAAAATGCTAGGATTCTAATGTAATGAAACTCAACTTAGGGTAAGGTTCACCATAGTGCTCACTCTCTCTCGCTCTCTTACTATAAAAAAATTTAGAACACAGAATTTCTTGAATTTATATCCTCAGTTGATGTTTTGTTGACATTTTTCCTTAGACTAGCCAAATTGGGAATGTGCCTATTAAAACATTCCAACGTAGTGTGATCACTCATTGAAATCTGTCTTGCATAGAGACTGACACTGATCATTACATTAGATACAAATTCTACCTTCCCCAGTTACACAACCCCCAATGACTTATTGGAAAATCAACATTTAGAAAGCCATGTTTAAAGGTCACCATCTACGATCTTACATTCTGACAGTGTGAGACTTAAATGTCCGTTGAGTTTCATGCATAGATTCCTTTTGATTTTTGTTTTCCTATATTCTTACTTTGATTTCCTATTAGTGGCATCAAGAGATAAAAATTAAACTGATTATCCTTCATCTGTGAATATTAATGAGTCCTTCCTTTCCTTTAAAGTTTCCTTTTCTCTACATTACAACTGGTTGACAACTTACATATAATATGTAGATTGGTTAGTGACATAATTTTAGGTTATAAATATGTAATGTTTCTGACATTAGTTTGTTATCCTATAGACAAGATATTTGAAAGAAACTCTGATATTTCTTTTACTCTACAATTTGGAAGTAGAGCAGCGGCTGTATTTTGAGTAAGGAAGTTCCAAGATTTTTGAATGCTAGAGCTTGTAGGATTTCCAATTCAGTTCTCCTGAAAAATATTAGAACAGATAAGAAGGTTGTTTCTACAGTGATCTGGAGGTGCCCCCTTTGCTTGTAGGTCAAACCGAAGAATAAATTTAAACATAGTTTGTTGAATTGCCCAGGTGGGTTTGTATTTGGAGATAGAACTGGAATTCTATTGCCATTTGCCACTTCATAGAAAATCTATTCAGGAAGAGCCCAATAAACAGAAAAAGATTGATTTCCAGGAAATAAAAAATAATGTATTTATCTTCTACATGGCTTGAACTAACTGAATCAGAAAACTGCTTGAATATTCGGCATTCTTACAGATTTGAAATATGAAATATTTATTGTCTGGTAAACAGATTAAGTTTTGCTTTCCATTTGGAGTTTATTTAGTTACCAACATACTAGAGATGTAAGTCGATATCCTGGAAGGTTTACCTTTTTAAAACTGCAATTCATATTTCTTGAGGTGTATCATAGGATACCTCATATTTCTGGAATGTTTATGATAATTTGTGATTTAATAGTACACATAAAGATGATGCCACTGAGTCGCTAATGAGTATATATGTGCCTTGAAATGTTTTTGACTAAGATTTTTTTAGTAACCAGTTGTAATGTAAATAAAAGATTCTTAAGGAATGAGAACTTTTGATGAATTTGATTTTTGATACACCAGTTCTCCATCCTTTTCTCCCAGAGGAGTCATCCATTTTTTCCAAAGCTATTACAGTGCAAATCATTTGACATCTTTGGGTTGTTGCAAGGCTAGAGCTAACTGATGTTACCTCTCACAGAAGGGGCTCGGATAATGGCCCTGTTGCTGAAGTGTCCCTTGGTAGCTGGGAAATGAAGACTGGGAATCGCTGCATAGGCCTGGGGGGCATAGAAGACAGGAGCTCCAAGGTAAGCTGTGGTGGGATCATAAATATGGCCCAAAGAGTAGGCATACTCTCCTTGCAGCATGGTGCCCCTTCCACCTGTGCCTCGGGTGTACCTAACGTAGCTGTCTTTGTCCACTGGTTTGGCTAGGGTCACTTCAATAGGAGAACCATCCAGTACCTGTGTGAAGAGCAAAGACAGACACCATGAGAAGGTCTGATTCCTAAGTAGCCACCCATTTCCTTCTAAGGGCTGGACCACTTGCTGTGTGTTGACTGTTTCACTTACTTATATTTTGTCACTTTATTGGCTTATGTTTATATGTCAGTTGAATTTTTTCTGGTCCAGTTGTTGAGTTACATATAAAATGCTACCCGGTTTGACAGTGATATATTGGGCATGCCCATTAATGTGTTGGTTGTAAATTTTAATTTTGAAATAATCACTAAGACTGAAAAGTAGGCTATATTTTTAATTTCATTACCTATGTGTTAATAGTACAATTTGCAGAAGTAAATAAAAATTTAGGTTATTGATGAGTAGAATACATTCTCCATTGCTTAGTCAGTCAATGAAGATGAAAGCAAAAGCAAGAGATCTTATGAAATATTGTCTTGGCATGGCAAACCCAATCAGACTTTTCCAACTTAATGTCTTCCTCCTTAGAGCAGCCTGCAGATTCGGTAAATCTTAGGGAAGTGGAGAGATTTAAGTATAACTCTACTTAAGGAAGAGGAGTCTGTGAGGCTACTGTGTTGTCTCCCACGGGTACTTCATGACTTGCTAAACAGCTGGGAATTAAAAAAAAAAAAAGATAATAGGGACCGAGAGTGACAGTGGGAGCAGTACTGAGGTTTCCAAGGCATACAACACTTAAAGCTGTGCTCAAGAATCACTGCAGTAGTTCCTACTAATACTTATGTAATAGCAAACTGCTCCAGATGTGGAAGGCAATGGGTGTGTGCAGGTCTACACACACAACTAACTTCTACATATTGTTTGCCTACACAAGAAACCAAGGTGGCTCTCAACAGCTTCTTAACAGATGGGCATTCTCACTCAAAAAGCACTGTCAGAAAGTGTTTGAACCTTCTTTTCATATAAATAAAGGAAATACTAAAAAACATTTTGAAAAAAAATGCCTTTCACATCACTTGAAATTTCACCCTTGTTCACATCCCTCAGTGGTCCATGTTTCTTAGTTATCTGGGCTACTTTGGTCAGTTGTTGCAAGCAGTCTGTTCCTAATTTCATGTTACCTGCCTTACGTTTTAGTGATTGGCACAGTGTCACATATGACTAGGTTAGATGAAACACACTGAGAGGTAAGATACAGATAATCTGTAGCAGTCTTACATTGATATTGTTACAGTTAGAAGAAACAGACTTGGAAGGCTTATCTCAGACAAAACATTCTCTATGTATTTAGTCCCATCTTGGGGAAGAAACTTAAATAGGTCTATGGTTACAGGCACTTCCATATCAGGAGAGTTGAATGAATCAGTAACTTCTGACTGTGTGATAGATTTTGTTCGGCATTCTTTTGCTCCTTCCAAGAGTGCATCATTCTTAAGTACTTGATGTAGATATTTCAGAAACTAGGACGACTTCTTATTCAATTACATTGCTCAAGCCCAACAACATTTCCTTCAAATCACAGATATTGACAAATTTATACAATGAGTGAATACTCATAAATATGTGGAACAAGTTAATAATCATCTAAAGCTCAATTCATCACATTTCTTTCTTGTTGGACTTGCTTTCCTGAGTTCCTTATCAGGCTTTCCTATTGAAGACTTACAGTGACTATTCTTTTCTGAGCTCTAATCCCAAGCAGATCTTGGGCCTTCACATTTATTCCCCACAGAACTTGTAGAAACCTCTGCTACATTCCATTCCCATTAGAGTTTAAGGTCTTTATCCTGGCTGGGTGACTAGAATAGCTTTCTACTAGTTTCCACTGCCTCTGTCTCTCTCCTCAACCTATGAAAAATTAACTCATAGGTTAATTTCCCTAAATTATAAATATAATTACACACACACACACACACAAACACACAATCCTTCAAAGCCACACCTGATCTGATAAATACAAATTTCTATATGGATGTTCAAAACACAGGTGCTAGAAAAACATGCTTTCATTTCCTTATCCCACATTAGTGTTAGTTATAATATGCAGTAAATATTTACTGCTAATAAATCTATTTCTGTATGACATAGGAAAAGTTTGCTGCAAAAATATCCAGTTATAGGATCTGAACATAATTTGAACACTTCTTCACTGGCATTAATCCAATGTAATGATTTGGCATTTAATTATGGGCTATGTGTATATGTTCTTAGTGGCAACATACACACTAAGAAATGATTCCAAGAGAAAAAGTGAACTTACATGTTGTTTTCAAAGCAGTAATAATGCTTTGCTTCATATAGATACATTTAAATATGTGCTAACTTTTCCTTTTGTGTTTCAGAATCAGTACTTTTTTTTTTTTTTAACCCACAGAGTTTATCTGTGTAGTCCTCTGGGTAGCTCATAAATCAGAGAATTCCCTGTGTCTGGCTCATAGCTTCCATTTGGGCTCTAAATTTACTTCCCACTGGCTGTGCTCTGGGAGGGTCCTTTACATGAGATCCTTTGCAGAGTTCCCTAGCCTTCTAGATTTAAATGAATTTGACCGATGTGAAATCTTCATGGAAGACTGGAGAGAAAAAGTGAATTAGGGCATTCATTCTCCTGGCTCACTCTTCATCCCTCTACTCTATACTTTAATTTTGTACTTTTTTTTTTTTTTTTTTTTTTTGCTGACAATTCTGTTGGTACCCTGACTGATGTTTCCCAAGCTTGCATTACAGTTCCCAAATCCTGTGCCTTTGCTTAAAATTGTCTCTTTTTCCCATATTTTGTTGTTTGAAACTAGACCAAATTTTTGTGGCTTAAAAAAAAAACTATTATCATCTTATATCCGTGAAATTTTTCTGATTCTTTAAACTCACTTCTTTCTTTGAACTTTGTTTTTATTTTCATCTCTCTCTCTCTCTTTTATGATACTTACTCTGCTGCACTTTGTATAAGTATTTGTGCTTGTTTTATTCCTCTGGCAGAATTTTTGACAAACATCTTTGGTTTGATTCTTCTGTATTCTTGACTTATGTATAGTAAGTAATCTACAGAAGGAGTTTGATATTTATTGGGATTATATTCTATGGGTACATCAGCAAAAGGATTTAGTAGTTTTTTTTTTCTCCAGAATCTATTTATAAGACTTTCAGTTTCAAGGTCAGATTCCAAGTGCCGCATGTGGCAAACTTGATATCTTATCATCAACCTCCAAAATACTGTGCTATAAAGGTGATAGTATTTTTGAAGAAAAAATTTTTAAAAATGTAATTAAGAAGAGATTGCTTGAAATATTTTACTTTCATCTTGTCTTCCTAAGGGAATCGAGGGCCAGTAATTTGTCCAACCTCCAAAAATTTACAGGGAGAGTTGTCGATATTCACCTTATCTCCATTTCCCTTCACTTGTTTTTTGTGCATCTTAATTGGGTAGATGCAGCCATGTCAGAGGTGGAGAAAATCAGGGTAAGATTAACTTGTAGGATTGCTCTTTTGAATAGAATGCCCATGCCAAACTTGGATGGAATCTCTACCTATTTTTCATCCCCCCTACATTACCTTCCCATTTAAAGCTTTCATAGCCTCAACTGCATCTTCTCGGTTACTAAAATGCACAAAGGCATAGTCTCGGATTTTCTTCACCCTTTCCACAGCTCCTGTAAATGGAGTAAAAGTAGTTCCATTAGAAAACTTGAGTTGGTGCTGCAAATAGTTCATGTAATTTCCAAGAGTTGAGAATATATCATGTAACTGACTTTAAAATTCGACACATTTCTTAGAAGATTTTGTTTTAATTTTTAAATAACTTTTATATTCTGATATAACTAGTTGTGGATTTATGTTTTGTTATCATCTGCATTAGAAGATCCTTAAGGTAGGAATGTTATTTTAGTCATGATATCTTATAGAATGTAAAAATATATCTTATTTATAAATAAAATGTTTGTTCAAATGATAGCAATAACTGGTCATGTTTATAAACATATATTTAGGTGATTACCTTGTTAAGTTCTATGCTTTTATCTCCCAAGAAATCTCTCTCCTGTGTCTTGGAGGTATTTTAAAATGTTCATAGGAAACACATATTGGAAAAATTATACATAGACTTCAATTCCTTGCATCACAAAAATGTTACAATTTAATTCAAATTTCCACAAACTTTTTGAAGTATGCTTGAATAATAGAATTTGGAGTAGTGTAGCAATAACTTTTTCTAATTTTTATTTACATAATTCTATGTCTTTCCACTTAAATATTAAGAAACTATTATCCTGACAAAAAAGATGAAATAGATGATTCTGTGTAGCTTAAGATCCTGAGCACTTGCAAGGCAAAATAATAATAATACTAGCAATTTTTTCTTAAAAAACCTGAGGACTATGGTGGTTCTCAACCATGCTGTCATGATGTCTAAAAGTTGGAAACAGTCACAAATATATATTAATCGTATTTGGAAAAATATATTTTACAAAAGTACATAAAAATCATTCATAAAAATATCACTCCGCTGTTGAAACAGCCAACATGAAATGATCTAAAATGTAAATGTCATAGGAATGACTAAATCTGGTACACATACAAAATAACAAGGAGTCTTTAATGAGGACAAATGTACTTGAAAGAGTCAAGACTTTCTTAAATTTTTTAAAGTAAAAAACTAAGTACAATATTAGAACATTTTTTTAAAATCTCAGAGTCCAAATTTGCATCTATTAATATAAATGCACACATGCAGTATGGGAACTGAAAGGTGGAGGTGAAATCCTAGTGTTATTTCAGAAAGAGAAAAAAATGAGAATGAAAACTGTGGCTTACTCGATATATTTTGGCATTTTATAAATATCTGTTTATATTATATGTAGGCACTCGAAAGAGCTATTTATATTGATAATTTACAAAAATAGAAACTAATGTTAAGATGATTGTTATATTTTAAAAATATTGTTGCTTACTCAACTTTGAAAATAAACCTCATTGTGTAGAGTGAGGTTAAGCGTGGTTTATGCTATGGGTTATGCATGCCAGTGGTCCCCTTTTAACTTTTTTTCTCATTTGGGGCATATTGAGAGGATAGATTTTTTTTCCTCTTAGCTCCTGGAAATAACCAAGGATGAGCCATTATGCCAGGGAGGATAAGAAGAGGAGCCTCTGTCTTTTCTTCCTTTCCCTATCAGAGTTCAGTTATCCTCTTAAGAGTCAAGGTCCCAGAAGCACTTGGAGTTGATACTGTACCTCACGGTGTGATGACTGCAAGTTATCATCCCATGGAAAAATGGAAAAACGATGTGGTGCTTCTTTTCCTCTTTCTTCAACATTCACCCTTTGATGTATGATACTGGTTATAGAGAGCAAAATTGTCTGGCTCAACTGAGCCAATGAAGGTAATTGATGCTGTGACGCATGGGAATGCAATGGATTTTCAAATTGGTACTTTATTCTTTTCACTGTCAGGTGAGGTGATTAGCATGACTCAACCCCATTGCTTGTTTAGTGGAAGGATTGGGTCAGTAGGTGGTCACTTCCACCTTTCCAGCTCATACTTTAACACCATCCTCTGCAGTGCTAAAAACAGAATTGACTTCAGAGGTTCCTGCAATCCCGGTCACCTAGTATCTGCCCAGTGCTCTGGACACGTGGGACACTAAGTGAATGCACACCAAATGAGAGAACACTCTCAAGCAAAACAAACTCCAGCCTCTGTGACCCATGGCAGGCGATAGTTCAGATGATAATGATCTTAGGTCTACTAGAATTCGACTTTCAGCTATTTGAAATTGTCTTGTGTTTTTGGATGCTACTGTTCAGATTCACTTGCCTTTGGAAAAATTCATGAAAATTTAGCCTTACAAAAAAGATGAATCAGAAAGACTTTGTGTGTCATAAAAGCTGATCCTCTGTACAATAATACTGACCACATAGCTTATTTTTATTTTATTTTATTTAAAGAAGAGAGACCATGCTCCCATTTTCCAGTTCATTTCTCAAGTGCTCACAATGATTGAGACTGGCCAGGCCAAAACTGGGATCTAGGGAATTAATACAGATCTTCCATGTGGTTGGCACATGGCCTCAGCTATGTGATCTGTCACCTCCTGTCCCCTAGCAAGCAGGTTAGCAGGAAGCTGGAACAGGCAGTAAAGTCAGGACTCAAATCCAGAAACTCCCATATGTAGGAAGTGGTTACCCCCACTGGTAGCTTAACCGCTAGGCAAAACACCACCTGCATGTGGCTTATTTTAACATATTCCTGCTTTAGGGCATATTGATTTTTCTTTGATTGTCACTGACTAGCGAGAGAGGTATCATAATTAATGCAGAATCCATCCACAAAGAAGAAATAAGTCTTCTGAAATCATGACATAGGAAATTGGAAACAGATTGCTCTGTTCACTAAGACTTGTCAGCAGCACGTCAATTACCTAAAGGCAACAACTCTGTATGCAAGTGAGAAGTACCAGAGGGCCGTGGTGGTCTACGCGTGGCCACCAGCAGCATCAACTTTGCCCAGAAACAGTAAAAAAGCAGATATTTGGGCCTACCCCAGCTAGCACAAGATTTTTGTGTTTGAAGAAACTCTGGGCAATTCTCATGCTGCTGAATTATAAAAACAGATTTTGTAGAATGACTATAATTAAAGCTGTGCCTTTAGGCTACCCTGGACCAGAAGCTACATTCTCTGGCCTCACTTTCTGTTCTAATTGTCTTTTGTATTTGTGAGTGCCAATTGTTTGTTTTTAGGCTAGCCAGTGCTAGAATGAAATATAGTCAAATATTTACAAGGGATAAAATAGGTTGCTTTGAGAGGTCCAAATTTTAAATAGAATTTTAAATGTTATTTTCTTGTTGCCTCTCCACAATTTTGTTCTAGGCAAGTGCATCCTAAATACGTCTTTTTAAAAATAATTATTTTTTATTGAAAAGGCAGATTTACAGAGGGAAGGAGACAGAGAGAAAGATCTTCCATCCACTAGCTCATTCCGCAAGTGGCTGCAACAGCCAGAACTGAGCTGAGCTGATCTGAAGCCAGGAGCCAGGAGCTTCTTCCAGGTCTCCCACATGGGTACAGGATCCCAGGGCTTTGGACCATCCTCCACTGCTTTCCCAGGCCACAGACAGGAAGCTGGATGGGAAGTGGAGCAGGTAGGACGCAAAGTGATGCCCTTATGGAATTCTGTTGCATACAAGGGGAGAATTAGCCAACTGAGACATTATGCCAGGCCCACAACATGTCCTTTTCATTTGAAAATTAACTCGCTAGTTTTGACTTTCCTTTCTTAGTGCAGCTGATATCTGATTGTTGTTCAGCCTTATAATTCATATTTATTTGCAGAGTATCCAAAAGAGGAAGCCACACATTACAGAATTTGGAGAGTTTTGTCTCCAGGGTTAGAACGCACTATACCATCAATGCATATACTTTAGGCTCAGAAGAAAAAGGAGAGGAAATCTATCTAGCATCAGTTATTTTCATTGTAATAAACAGTGTTTGGGCACAGGTTTCTGTAATGCCAATTTACCGATTGAGGAAGTTGATACCTTGTGAGTAAAAAATGAAGCAGCTTGTTGGGAGTTTCCCACTCTAGCCCTTTCATGAAAGAGGTAGTTTTATTTAGATAAAAATATGAAGTAATGGGGCCAGAGTTGTGTTATTGTAGGCTAACCTGCAACTGACAGCGCCGGTGTCCCATATCAGGGTGCTACTTTGAGTTCCTGCCACTCAGCCTCAATCCAGCTTCCTGCTAATGTGCCAGTGAAGGCAGAGGAGCATAACCACTAGGATGATGTCCTTGGCTTCTGGCTTTGACCTTGCCCAGAACATTTGTTTTGGCCATTTTAGGCAGGAACCAGCAGATGGAAGACTTCTTTTTTCTCTGTGTCTCTTTCTCTGTCACTCTGCATTTCAGATAAATAAATAAATCCTGAAAAAAATATAAGAAATATTCCTCCTGGGAAAGCAGAAAAGGGAAGGCAAAGAGGGTGATGGAATTACATATAAGACTATATTATTTTAAAGGCAAAGTGACAGAGACCCATTGCCTCATACTTACCCTAAATGTACCAGGAGTAGGCCTGGCTAAAGCCAGAAGCCTGGAACTCAATTGGGTGGCAGGAACCCAAGAGTTTGAGCCATCAGCTATTGCTTCCCAGGGTACACACCAACAGGAAGCTAGATTGCAAGTAGAGGAGTTGAGACTGAAGCCAGATACTCCATAATGGATGTGGGAATCTCTGCTGGCATCTGAACTGCTCTACCAACAGACTCATATGGAGAAACGTTTATACCCAGGCATTAGAGGGTATGGAAAAACTACACGAAGTTTAAAAATTTTGAAACAAAGCATCTAATTCCATTTGCCATGACCTTTTTAGGTACCTCACAGTTTGCATTGTTTGATGACATATTTGATTGTTACAACCTGGCAGTTACCGCTGATTTCTAAAGGGAATGATGCTAGCATGCTACTGGCCTTCGTAAATCTAGTGGACCAACCCCCACAGCAAAAAATAATGTATTTTCAAAAGCCAATAGTAAGATTGAGAAGCTCTATTAGACCTAAAGTTATGACCTTGCATTCATTAATACAGTAAATGTTTATTAATCAATTATTATCCACCAGGCCCAAGGCCTGGGTCCTGAGAAATTAAAAAAAAAAAAACAATGATAGAAACAGAATTCATAGAGTTTATAGTTTACAAAACAAATACATGTTTATTAAATAACACCCAGATGTGTGTAAAATTATCACATTGATAAATGTTGCGGTGCCAAATACCTGTATTTATAATACATAGGAATGTTATTTGAGAAATCTGTATGCAAGAATGATAATGCGCTAAATAACAGCCTATTAGAGCTATGGGAAGCCATTTCCATCATCGTACTTTTGGAATATGTCTTACATACATATCCTACCTGGTTTGATATTGTTGAATTCCTTTTCGATGGTCTCTTCTGAGGTAGATAGCATAAGGTTTCTTACATACAGGATTTTCACTGAAGACATTGTGTCTTCATCAACTTCCACTTCTGGCTCTGCCCAGTCTACTGCGATCGGATGTCCCCATAATTGAATCCTTCCTGTTGAAAATAGTAACAGATATCATGAATTATATATACAGTAGAACCTCTCAGTTCGTACTGATGAACTTTTAAATTGAACTGACCCTTGAGATCTTGAAAGATCCACACCATTAAAAAGGATGATTATTGATTTTTAAGAGATCTACAGAACAAATCTAAGACTTGACTAAAAGGGAGTTCTGTGTGGCTAGAGGCTTCTTGCAGCAGTTATGTAGAAAGGAAGTGGGATGTTTCTTGAAATGGAGCAGAAGAGAGTTAGCAGTGGCCATGTTTGGCTCTCAGGTAGTGAAGGTCATTGTTTAAGTGAGATTGCAAAAGGGAGAAAGACAAGAAATGAATTTGGGATTCAGATATAGTGTCTGATCTCATGAAATAATACAAAGGTCACTGCAATTGAATCTATTATGGTGTTGGTTAGGCACCACCACTGAGAGCGTAAGGATGGAGAGAGCTCAGACCTCACTCCTCTGTTCCTTGGCCTTTGGTCATTATCTACATCAACCTTATTCCCTCTTAATCCTGTGTCAGGCCAGTTAAGAAGATAGATGAAGAATAGCAGTGAGCATGATGTGAAATTTAGCTGTTGCTGAAAAGGTAGTTGCTATGACCACGTATATATTTTTATAGTCCTATATTATTGTATTTTGTATTTCCTATATGTTACAGCAGTTGCTTTCCACACTAATCCTGTAAGGAGAGGAATGAGTTCACTTCAGCAGAAGTGATTTTCCACTTTTTATATTAGTTGTTTGAGAACAAGCTACATCCTGCGAGCGACACAAAGCTTAAGAGAATAAAATCAGGCACACGCAGTGCTCAATTATTACACATGGGAGGCAATTATTTTTGATCAGAATGTGTCTTTTTTATTCCTTCAATAACTGTGAATGAAGGCATCCGTGCATTGGCATTCTAAAATCCAAGTAAGAACAGACACATCCTGTCCTAATGAGTTAGTGGATCGCACAGAGGCAGACTCTTGCTACCCTAGCTACCATGTCGGGTTCTACGTTGCTTCCCAGGGCTGGTTTCATTCAGAATTCCCTTCCTTCTCTTTCTTTCCCTTGTGTCATCATCCAACTCTTTCCCCCAGCCCTGATATTCCTTTCCCCTTTGTATGCCTTAGTGGAATGTTTTATCCCAGTACTTTAAGGCTTCTAGATAACTGGTTTCTGTAGCCCTTTGGTTGTTTCATATAAGCAGAGCTTTAGAAAACTACTAAAGCTTGGATTACATTCAACAGTATGCCAAAGCGAGTTCATATTCATGTGTGAGAATAGACTTACATTTTCAGATTTTTCTTTTCCACTTTGTTAAAATATATTTGATAAAACTTGTATATGTTTATCATGTGCACTATAATGTTTTGGTCATTGTTAAATGAAGTTAATTAACATATCCATCACTTCACACACTTATTTTTGTGGTAAGAACACTTAGGACACTCTTCGCTGTGTCATGTGTCTAATACCTCGTCACTAACTCTGTTCAGCGATCTGTAAAGTTTGTCTCCAATAATTTTATTCTTAGTGGAAGTTTGTACCCTTTGGCATAGCGTCTGTTTTCCTCAACCTGTGTACTGGCAAACACCATTATGCTCTGCTTCTATAAAATCAGCTTTTTCAGATTCTTCATGTGAGTGAGTTCAGGCAGTGTTTGTCTTTCTGTGTTTGACTATTATCATAATGCCCATAATGGTCATATTTTCACAAATGACAGAATTTACTAGTTGTTAAGGGCTAAACAGTGTTATACTATAATCAAATAAATGAGGTTGTAGTGTATGAAGGAAACTTACAAACTTCAATAGTGCATCTATCACAGTAACATGAACTGACAGTGAATTGGTCTTTCAAATAGTTGCCAAGACCATCTGAAGCAGAAGGCAAGTCTCATAAATAAAACGTGTTGGGAAATGGGGTCTCTAACATGCAGATAAATAAAAATTGAATCTTATTTCATACTTGTTATGAAAATCAATTCAAAATGGACCAAAGGTTTAAATGTAAACCTTGAAACTCTGAAATGACTGCAAGAAAACAGGGTAAAGTTTTTTCACATTGGTCTTAGCAACTTTTTTTTTAAACTTATGGTCTTAAAAACACAGGCAACAAAAGCAGACACAGAAATTCACTGAATTATAGTAAACAAAATGATTTGCAGAAAAAGAAAACAGTTGAAGAGACAAGGCGTTTCTAAATGAACACATGAATGATTGATAGGTACGTGAAAATCTCAACATCACTGTCAGAAAAATACAAATTAAAACTACAGTATACTATTACCTCACACTGAGTAGAATCAAAAAGACAAAAATAAATGTTGATAAGGATTTAAAGAAAAAGAACCCCTGTGCACTGTGTGAATGTTAGTTAGCATAGCAACTATGGAAAATATTAGGAAGCCTTCTCAAAAAACTAGAAGTAAAACCAACATTTTTACCACTGAATCTATGATAATAGAAAATGAAATAAACTTATCACTGCCCCATGTTCACTGAAGCATTATTCATTGTAGCTAAGACATGGAATCAGCCTGAAGGTCCATCAACAGGTAAATGAATAAAGGCACTTTCAGGATTCTGTGATACAGTTCTCATCACATAGATACTTGAAATTAGCCACGGTGAAAGTATCAATACTGTGAAAACAAACAAATGTTATACTTCAGGATATTTATATTTTTCCAGTGAGCAGGTTAATAAAGATTTCCCGCTCATGGTTGATCCCTGGACTGTTTCTTGCAGTGATGATAGAAGGAGTTTGGGCTTCAGATATTTTCAAAGTATCCCTGTTTATTCTAATGCACGTGTAGGCAAGGCTGCATAGCAGTGCTTTAGCTTTTGCCTTCCCAGCTCAGGACTGTCAAAACACACAGGGCTGATGAGCTGTAAATGGTTGGAAAGAACAGAAATAAGAGGCAGCCTGAGAAGCAATGTCACCCAATTTCTTTCTAGAAACACTTCGAAGGTATCTGCTAGAAGCCAGTGATTTGAGTGATTTGAGAACACTTGTTTAGACATCTGAGTCATGATCATAGCTAGAAAACGTATCCTTGTAAACAAAGCATCACCTTCATTATCTGTGAAGTCAGGAGAACGAGAGCACCTAATATGGTTGTAAAAACAGAAGACAATAATGTAGATACAGAACTTAGTTTATTACTTTTAAATGATGACTCAATAGTATATTCTTTTAATATATTCTCTCTATTTGTGATTTGTGTTCTTGTATGAGTAGCTTCCTGCTTTGTAACATGAACTTTTTGATGCCATGATTACATCTCCATTTTTAAAGTAAATCTCTCATGCAAGTTAGAAGAGAACAACATATGTTGTATCACTTCATAAATGCTTACTGAGTATCCCCTGGTGTTCCTATTCATGTCCATGCAGGTGAATGCCCAGTATCATTAGCTGATAGGTTTAGCAATGGGTCACGAAGTCTGGCTAAAGAAGGGACTTGTCTGGAAAGCTTAAAACATCAGCACTGTATCTCTAAACCCCAGAGAAGCCAACTTAATTGAATGGAGGCTCAACTCCTGGAAAGACAGTGGGTACATTTGCTGTGATCTCTGATCAGAGTTCCAGCTTCACACAGGCCAAGCTCTGGAAGCGCTGTTGATCTTACATCTTTCATTGTGCTGAGGGATGAATGTGATCAATGTGGACTGGGGAAGACCGGCAGTGGGTTCACAAGTAGGTAGTGGCTGAGCTGGGGGAAGGAGGGGTACATCTTTCAGGTAGTGAACACAGTGTTAGGATAAAGCAGACTGATGGTATCCATGTGGTGGTATCTAGCATAGTAAAGAGTCTGTCCTGACAGCTAGGAGAGGTTCCCCGCTCCCCGCTCACCACAATTCATTGCTTTGCGAAAGGCAAAAGGAGGGGTGTTTCCATGCACTGGCTCACCTTCCAAATGGCTGCAATGGCATGAGCTGAGTTAAACCAAAAATTCTACCCTAATCACTTATATAGTTGGCAGGGGTTTCAAATACTTGGGACAACTTGTGCTGTTTTCCCAGATACATGAGTAGGGAAGTCGATCAGAAGCAAAGCCACCAGGTCTCGAACTAGCACTCTATTGTGGGATACAGCTGTTCATCAAGCAGCAGCTTAACTTGCTGAGCCTCAATGCCAACCCCAGAAGGAGGATTTTTTGGGGGAAGGGAAAGACTATAAGGTAGCAAAAGTGGTCATAAAGTAGTGGGGGCCTGAATAAAAGGTTTTGAATAATAAGCTCAGAGATTAAGTTCTCCTCTCTTATGCAACTAAGTGTGGGTGAAGTTTTTTTAAAAAGATTTTATTTGAAAGGCAAAGTTAGAGAAGGAGAAAAGGCGAGCAAGAGATGGAGCTATTCCATCCACTGATTTACTTCCGCAATGACCGAAATGGCCAGGATAGGATCAGGCCAAAGACAAAAGCCAGAAACTTCCTCCAAGTGTCTCATGATAGTGTAAGGGCCCAAACACTTACACCATCTACTGCTTTCCCAGCTGTGTTACCAGGGAGCTGGATTGGAAGTGGGGCAGCTGACTCCAACTGGTGGCCCTATGGAATGCTGGCATTGCAGACAGGGACTGAATGTTACACTACAATGCCAACTCCCAGGTGAATATTACTAAACTGGCGAGTGAAAGATACCATGTAACCTGCCTAATGTTTGCATGAAGTTGTTGGAAGGTTGATAACGACATTTTAGAGACATTACTCTGGTGATCATGTGCAGAATAGAGCAGGCAGATGGTGGGGTATGTGAAAGGCAGAACAGCACTGGGAAAATCATTAGGAACTTTTAAAACAATGGAAGATTTAGATTAGGATAGTGGCATGAGAACTGGGGATAGGTACATGGGTTTGTTCAATGGCACAAGTGTTGGTGTTGAGAGAAAATTGAAGGAGATAACAAAATGTGAAATCTAGGAAGCCAGGAGACTGCCATGTCCTGTGATCAGTTTCAGGACGAATGTCTCTGGACCTGTGATTCAGATGATTTGACCACTGGGAAGTACTCAATGAAGAATAACAGAATGGCAGCTTCAGTATGAAAAATATTTACCTCTGTAATAAATGGAGCAATTTTTTGGAGCTATCTCATAATTTTTCACCTGGAGCTGATTTCATGAAAATGTTATTAGGACATCTTCCCCAACTTCAAAATCCATCTCCAAATCTTGAAAAATTCCAGTGGCTGGTCCTATATTAGTCGCTTCATTTTTAAGGATTAATGCAAAGGCAACGTAACTCTGAATATTTTGGTGCCTTTGTTCTTTTTTGTATTTTGTGGTTCTCTGTGAGTTTCATGAGGGAAGTTGATCCCAATGCAATTAGTCTGCCATTCTTGAAATCTTCTTATTCAATAGTAAATCATTTTAGTAGGCCACACTGTGTTAAATTTTACTATTTTATATTGAGCCATGAACTTTCATGAAATAATTTCTCCTAAGTTGTTCTGACCGAGGTTGTGTCTTAGTGAGGTCATTTGAACCCAGGAGTAGATGTTTTTTGCTCAAATGAGACCAGGCATGTGATTGTAGCATTTAATAGAGGTGCCTTTCAAAGAAGAGCTGTTATTTCTCTTCTCTTAAATTAGACAGAAATTATCACACATGAGGGAGTCATATTCAAAGTATATCCCTTAATTGTCTTTGAGATAATGTATCATTTGATGTTTATTATTTCTGCATCTTAATGGATAATATACCCTGCTTCTAATAAGCCTCTTCATAAAATCTACACACAATAAGCATGATGGATACATTTAATTTTAAGAGGATTATTCACTTTAAATATTCATTGAAGGATTGCTATAGCTTAACCTTTTGGGTTTCTGCCCTGTATATAACTCAGGCTCAGTGCATGGAATGGTTATTTCTTCAAAACTAGGGTTGTGAAGCCTTAAAAAACTGAATCAGTAAGAAAGAGGAAGAGTTTTAACACACAACCTGCCAAAGATGCAGAGTGAGAAAACACGAAGGACATAGAGTACTTGGCATCGCTGCTAACATCCCCTCGGCCTGCGGCCGGCAGGCTGGAGGGGAGCATTCGCGTCTGGCAAGGCGGGGCTGCTGACCTGGCAGTAGTTTCCTCCTGGCCATAGCTGCTGCCCGGTGACTCTCGTACTCCACAAAGGCAAATCCCCGGTTCTTGGTTTTATCCGCAGCACTTGGGTAAACAATGACATCAACAACTCCTTCAGTGACTTTCTTCATCTCTGATAAGATTTCATCTCTCTTTTTGGTTTTTGGAATTCCTCCAACAAACAATCGACAGTTGTCCACACTGGCACAGACCCCTAAGAGACGCCCGTTCCTGCAGAAAGAGCAGGCATTTGATGGATGAGAATCTCTGTGTGATTCAGCTTTAAGGCGAAGGTTGAAGACATGACTCTGGTCCAGATGTGCTGCACAGATACTGGATATTTGGTGCATCCTAAAATCGTGGCATTTTTTGAGAGATCGGAAGATGTGTTGACATGGGCTCTGTTTCTTTTTAATTTTTTTTAATTTAAAAATTAGATACGTGGATACCGATGGTTAGAGAGAGTTAGTCCAATGTGCTGTTTCACTCCCCAAATATTGACAGGGGCAAGGGACCCTGATGCTGGGAATCAGGCAGTCAACACAGATCCCTTACACGGGTGGCAGAAATCCAAATGTATGAACCTTCCCCGCTGTTGGCAGAAAGGTGGGTCAGGAGCCAGAGCAGGGCATCAAACCTGAGCACTCTGATGTGGGCTGAGGGAATCTTCACCAGCTCCTTAACTACTAGGCCAAACACCTGCCAAGGTTCTGCGTTTATAAAGGAAAAAACAATATATAAACCTGGATAGCATCTGCTCTTTTCACCAGATGTGAATTTGCCAGTTACTGTCCAACCTCACCATTCCCTGACATATGTACTCTGCTGAGGCCTCATCACCTGGCTTATATTCCACCTGCCTGGCCCTGAAGGCTTCTGCTTTTACAAACTTTGGGATTTTCTTTTCTTTTCTAGCTAAAGAAAAATTTGTTCTGATATGATTAATTTTCAAAGTAGTCCTTTGTATTTTAATGGTTGTTTACATGCTATTCTATTTGGATCAGCCAAGCAGCCTGTGAAATGGACAGGTAACTTGCCTGTTATTTCTGTTTTATAGATGGAGGGCTTAAGACTTGCAGAAATTAAATGACTTTCTTAATAATTTACAGATGTTAAAGATAGGAACTAGATTCTGGGGCCTCAGTCCCCATTCATCCCCTGTACAGGGCTGCCTGTGAGAAATTACTGCTGCAAGTTCACTGCAATTGGCAGAATAGAGCCTGGTCAATCTATTCTGGTGAATTTTGGGCAAAATATATCAAAAGTCTTTAGGTATCCATAAAATTTAACCAGTTGTGCTCCTGTCTGAAATGTGTCCTTAGGACATTCATATGTGTTGGGCCAAGCAGAAGGAGCTGAGTAGATCACAAGCCAGGAACGTCTGGTAACCTTGGAACACCAAGCAGCAGAGTCCTGGTGCCGCCTCTTTCCTGCCTCCCTCTGACCGCAAATAACAGAAGAGAGCTTTACTGGCCTCATCCTTATCCTTGCCAAGGTCAAGCAGACACTCTCATCCAGGAATGTTGGAAATGCCGGAGTCTGCACCAAAGATCAACACCCGCCATGGTGACACATCACAAGCCTCTGCAAACTGAGGGGCTACCACCTTCTCCCATCCCCCACACCTAAAACTAAAAAAGCCCAGTGCTGTGTGCCCTGGGTGGCCATTTCCCTCCTGGGTCACCCTGCCATGTGGAAGTAGTCCCAGGCTGTCCCACCAGACCCTTTCTCTGCTCTCTCCTCCCCACGGCCACCTTCTGTGTGGAATAAAGACATCCTTTGTGACTTACTGTGTCTGGCTTTTTGGGTTTGTGACAACAAAAGCTAACAATGCTGTTTAAAATAGCACCCAAATTGGAAATGAGCATAATACCTCCCATGAACTGGTTTAATGTATCTAAATGAGATGTTATTGACCCTGAGACTGGATCATTTGTACTACACAGTATAGCATGTTTATTGTCTTTGATTCTTGTCTACTTAAGGACCAATAGCTAGCCACCAAAACTGCCTCTCATCTTTTAAATGTCCCCGTGGGTAGATAGCACTGCTAAGGACAGATTCAGCGGCAAACAACAAGAGTCTTTAAGCCATAGGACACTTTGAGTCTCTAAAAATGTAAATGTAAAAGGATGATTTTTTTGGGTCAAAAATAGTTCATAAAGGTGGTAGGGTTAAATAACTAAGTATGCAAGAGGGTCATTTTGATTTCAAATATATAGAAAATAGATAATAAAATATAAACACAGTTATTTTTGGGTTCTGGGGTTTTGCTATAATGATTTTAACTTTTGTTAGTTTGTGTTTCCTGGTGTTTTGTATGTGTTGAATATTAGGCTGTCTGAATCAAAAATGAATGAAGAACCCTTAACAGAAACCATTCATTTGTCAAGAATTAAAGATGAGTGGGAGATGAATCTACTTTCCTTGAGGCCAGCGGCTCTTGGTTATTATGTGACACTGGGTGAGGACTGAGCCCTTGTCTCAGTTGTCTGCTTTCCTGAAGAAGCAAGGCTGAAAGTCAGACCACCAACAGGCCCATCTCAGCTGCTGAACACTGGCAAGAGATGCACATTTGGAGGGGGGGATGATAAAGAGAACTTTCAGTTTATTATTGTTTTTAACCTTCATTTAACAGCAAACAAAGGAGCCCTCTCTTCCAAGCTAGCACTTATTTAGAAATCATATTATCTTGGCTAGATGGGTGCCTATCAAGTAGCAATTACCAGCAGGAGGAGCCTGGGGTTTCCATATCCTATTTTTAAATGTGTGTGGTTGGTCAGGCATTTTTCCCAGAATTGCTCGGAGACAAAGAGCCACCTCTCAAAAGCTGAGAGCATGGTTTTAAAGTCTCCAGGAACCAGACACTTCGACAATATTCTGTGAATATTTGATGAGGAGGATGATTGGATAGTTATGGATCTTTTCTGGATAAGAGCTTTATCTATCCCCTGAGAGATGGTGGCAAAAAGCAAATTAAAGCCTGTTTTCTTCCCTGTAAGGAAGGCTGTCTCGCTGGCTGGACTGACTCAGGGCAGGGTGAAAATAGATGAGTTTGTCTGAATTTCACATTGTGTTTACCCTTCCAAGTTCTAGTCACTCTGTGTTTTTACCTTCATTCTGGCATCCAACCTGAACTTTTGTTGCCATCCTGACTACCAACTTTCTGAAAATGTATCACATGACCTGCTTCTTCCTCCTCCTCCTAACTTACCACTGCCAAAGCCATCAGCAAATGTGGAGCACACAGTATACGTCGGGCCCTGAGATTTACATGCCTCATTCATTTTTCAAAACACGCCATGCGGTAGATGTATTTTATCTCTTACTGATGAGACACTGAAATTCACAGCATACTATCAAATAACAGTGATTGTGACACATTATTCCCATCCTATTTAAAAAAAATATATTGAACTGAAACCAGTGAATAAAAATGTATCAAGTAGATGAAACAGATCCTGTTGGTTCTTTACACAACAAACTCCGCATCCATTTCAACTCAGAAACTGGGGAATGTTCACTGTTGTTAGGATGTCTGGATTTCATGATAGATAAAATGTTCCAATCTATAAAATTATGTAATTAAGAAACTATATTATCAGATATTTTGTGCACTTGAGTGTATTTTATCTCCTGTAGTGGATCTTCTGACCTTTTGTGCCATCAGGTACTGATGAAACCAGTGATGCTATCAAAGGGGTTCTCTCCAAAGGGATACAGGGCTGAAATTCAGTCTCCTGATTCCTACTTCAAACAATCTCCACATGCCACGCAGAGATCTTTTGGGTTGGCACAACTGTGTGAGAGAGGAGCCTTCTTTCTACTTACTCTAAGACCCTGGCCTAAATTCTGATCTTGGGGAAAATGCTGAGGCTTCTACTAGCTGCCAAACCAAGCTTATATTCCTAAGACTAAGATGTTCAAGAAACATGACCCAGTAGTTGAAATATGTAAAGAATTATAAGGATGATAGGTGACTTATGTGGGACCCAGAAAAAAAATCAGTGAGATTTTTTTTCCTTCCTCGTTTAAGGCTCAATTGTAGGGTACTTCTGTATTTTAAAAACAAAATGAGAGTGTGCTTTAGTCTGTGGAAATTGAATTAAAGGGTAGAATTGTGTTTGTGTGATTTTTAAAATCCATGCAGATTTCTTTCCATAAAATGTATCTTTCATTAACTTGTTGAAGTACACTCAATAGCTGTGAAGAAATATGTATTAGAATTGATCAGTTATGCCAATACATTTCAGTTGTATTTTTTGTTGACTCCAGGATTAAGCATTTAAAGATCTTTTTAGAATCTCCACAATCATACTGTGAAATGGGCATCACCACCATTTTGTAAATGAGCAGGTGGTGTAGGTCCTTTCTGTGACCTGGTGAAACCTCGCTGACCTGACAGTCCTGGATCTCCATGGCTGCACTGTCTTCCTCCAAGTCAGCCCCAGCATTTCTGAGAAGCGATTTACAAAGGGTCCCTTGCCAAGCCTAGGTTTTAGAACTTGGCACTTTCATAGAGTTATCCCTGTTTCCATTTTATAGAAACCAGTTATTAATTGCACAGGTTCAATTATATCCTCTTGGCCTTATCCTGTGGTTTTGAAATGCCATCTGTACGTGGCTGTTCCTCCGCTGTACAACCAGTGGTAACCTCTCTCCTGATTCTACTTCCACACAGTTACCTCCTCATTGTCTCCTCTGACATGTCTAATGTGCGTCTCTAAAGTGAAGTATCCCAAACAGAACTTTCCTTTTATTTCCAGCTATTTCTCCAGACATTGGCATATCAATGGCACTATTATATCCACCAACAATTGGCCTATAATATTTGGTAGCTTCTGAATTTTCTCACATTGTAAATCTAGCATCTGGGTAGTCTTGTGTGCTCAAATGCCAAGGAATACCTCAGCTCTGTTCCCCCTGCTACTTTGCACTGCTTCTGACCCACTTGTCTAATTGCCTTCACCTCCTGTCAGGATCCAGACTACAGCAGCAGCCCTTTCCGTGGCTTCTCCTTCTTGACCTCCATCTTGCTGCAGTACACTCTGCACCCACAGAGCAGTGCTTTAAAAAACATGAATCTGATGAAAACCCTCATGTGATTTCCTCTTTTTATGGTGGTAAAATTCAAAATCATTGTCATAGAATACAAAGCTCTCCATCTGTACTTTCAGCTCTTTCCTCCTCACTGTGTCTGGCCACATGGGTTCTTTCTGTCACGCAAGCATATAAAACTTGTTCTTCTTAAGGGAATGTATAGTGATAGAGTAATACAGAGTGCCATATCCAGATGTGAAGATACAATGCAATATGCATCCGTACTTCCAAATCAAAGATGGACTCCTAATGAAACTGTTGGACATGTCTAGACAAGGGGATGTTGGACTGTCTGACATTGTCTGTACCAGTAATGTCGGGGCACACTTAAATAACAGACTGATGGAATTACAACTTGTTATGAAGGACTATACTATTGTAACAATATGGGGAAAATCAGTTTGGGGGGAGCCATTTAGGGGGTGGAGAGCCCAGACCCTACAGAATTGTACTATAAAATAAAACCTTGTTCTCGTTACAGGAACTCTGCACCTACTGCTCCCTTTCTCTGGGACAATCTTCCTTATGGCTGTCATGATTGACCCTTTTCTCTTTCCCAGATTTCTTTTTTCACTATACCAAGTGAGAGTGTAACTCCGCATACAACTCTACCCCACCCCTGGTTTATTCTCTCATACTATGTTAAATCATCTCACTTTTTTACTTATGAGACTAGGAAATTGAATGTTGATACATTTTCAATGTTTTGGAAGTGCAAGAACAAATTTAAGAAGTGAATAGATTCATGAATTTTGTTTCAACATTTCACAGTACAGTTTGATATGTCATATAGAACTTGTATTAAATAAACAAGTTTGTTCTCAACAATGAAAAAAATATTTTTTATCTCACATGGCTTTTGACAGGGTCTATACTGCATTAAATAATCACGATAGAAAAACAGATAATTACATTGTTGGATTGACTTTTAAGCTAGAAGAGATTATCTTACCTAATTTCGTAATTATTGAGTTGCTTGATTGCATTCTTGGCTTCTGATTTATTTGAGAATGTCACAAATGCATATCCTCTGTTGTTACCATTAAAATCCATCATCATTCTCATTTCATAAATTTTACCAATCTATAAGCAATAGAAATAAAAATTTACATTTATACACATACTTTCAGATTAATGGCACAAATACACACATACACACACGTACACTCATTTGCAATGTTTCCTGAAGCCTGCTTTCTGTCCATACTGTCATTTGCGTTCTGTGTGGGATGGTTTCTGTGTTTTCATGTAGGGTAGATCAGTTACCTGACCCATGGGTAAGGTCAAGTTGAAGAAAATACGTGTTAAGTGACATTTCAACTTGGGTTAATAGAATCTGGTTTTGATAGAGCAAATGACCTCTTGTCACATGATTATCTGGAAGTCTATGCAGTGTGTTCAAGCCTTTCAAATCAATTTGCCATTATAAGTATAATTTCTTTATAGATTTTTCCATCCCCCATATATTTTCCTCTGAGGTCTCCACACTGTATTTTTTTCATTAGCTCATATTGTATCACTAACATTGAAATCAGAAACCAGGAACACTCCTCTGGAATGTTCGTGAACGTTTTTTAGCTGAGCCGTCTCAGCAGAATGAACACAGGCACTTTCCAGGGGACGAGCAACGACCGTATGCAAACACATATAGATGTATGTACATTTGAACACGTTATCAATAGGGCTTCAAACTATCAGTGATGGAACAAAGAGTGGAGTCGAGGCAGGCATAGTAAAGGAACAGTTTAAGTGGCTGGGAAGGTTCTAAGATTGTCCAAGTTGAGGAATAGCTGTGGGAAGAGAAACCATTACTGATAAAGCTGAGAGTGAAAACAGTAAAGAGAATAGAGACTTTTCATTAGAGACAAAGGAACATTAAATGTTAAATCTTGACTCACTTTTTCACATAATGGTATAAGTTCATCCTCAAAAAGGTCCCGGGGAAGTTTCCCAATGAAGATTTCACAGCCTCTTTCTGGGGGTGCAGCATCCCAACCAGGTGGGGGGCCACCATACTTTCTTTGTCCATTTTCCTGCACATTCGGAGAGTGGAATAAAAGGGAGAGATAACCATAATTCAGTTTAATCTTAATTATTTTTCAAACTCTTTTTACAGTGAGTAATATATTTATCTTTGTCAAGAAATGATAGCAGTAGATAAAAATGAAAGTCTTTGATGTGAATAATATGCCAGGCTGTGTGCTTCAGAGACTTAAATACTTGCCTGAAATGAGCATGATAAAAATTGTCAAGGGATAGTTAGATAAATTGGGTTATGGAATAAAAATCATTGATTTTTATTATGGTAAGAAGATTTAACATGAAATCTGTCTCCTTAATAAACTAAGGGGTTGCATTTTTTTCCCTATGCTATAAATTTGCCAAAGCCCAATCATCAAAGGGACACACTGTCATTTAAAATTGGAAGCCTGGGACCTTCAGCTGAGGACTGTGTGTTGTGGCAGCAAGGGTCTTCCAGCTGAACTACTTGGCTCCATTATTCACTAGCTGTGGGACCTGGTGGCCAATGACTTCTCCAATCCCCAACTTCCCATATGGGAGATGGGGAATAATGTCTGATATAATAAAACAATAGAGCTGTTGAACAAGGGAGATAATGCAGCACGTGCATGGTACAGCTCTAGGTCTTTGATATAACTGCATATTCTGGACGATCCCCTTCTTCCCCTCTCAGTTGAGGTGACTACATATGCTTAGCAAGGACCTCTAAAGAAAGACACATGCACATTGACATTTGGAGACGTAAAACTGGCTAATTTGGGAAAAGCTGGGGATAGAGTTCAATCTCTTTTCAATGCTGATAGGATGAGAAGAGGTACTTATTAAAACTAGATTTTTTTTTTTCTCCAGTGGCATCTTTATTTTTCAAGAGTAAAGATCTAATAACTTTAAACATTCAAAATTGGGGCCTAACATGGTAGCCTAGTGGGTAAAGTCCTTGCTTTGCACGCTCCAGAATCCCATATGGGTGCCGGTTCTAATCCCAGCAGCCCCACTTCCCTTTCATCTCCCTACTTGTGGCCTGGGAAAGCAGTTCAGGACGGCCCGAGGCTTTGGGATTGTGCACACATGTGGGAGATCCAGAGGATGCTCCTGACTTTGGATCTGCACGGCTCTGGCCATCGTGGCCACTTCTGGAGTGAATCATCGGACGAAAGATCTTCCTCTCTGTCTCTCCTCATCTCTGTATCTGACTTTGCAATAAAAATAAATCTTTTTTTAAAAGAAAATATATAAACAAAAAAACTTCTGTGGCACTAATTTATGCATTTTTAAAAGTTTTCAAATAGCAGTCATCTTTTCCCAAATTGTTCTAAGTACATTTGAAAAACATGTTAGCTGTTTGAACATACTATCTTATATGATAGATGTTTGATGTTTAAAATCAGTTTGTAGCAACTGACAGTAGCACTGTGAAATGACACTTTCCACCAACTTGAGCCCTTCTCAGTTATAAAGAGAGCACAAATACTTAACTGATATCTGTGGCCATGATTACTCTTACATTCCTAGTAATTTATACCAAGTAGTGTTAAATGATTATAGGAAAGATAGCAGACAAGTATTCTACCTTGCCCTGATCATGTTTTACTGCAAACAATTGAGTATTTTTCATCTTACTGAAGATTTAAATTGTGTCTATAACATTCTTATGTTGTTTTCTGTCTGTCCTACATTCCTACAGTACTCCCTAGCACTAGAGAAATCGGACAGATGAAATATTTCATGCTTATATTGTGAAACCAAAAATTGGAAACTTGTCTGTATTTCATGTCCTTCCCAATTTCTAGTAACCTTTTGGTGAATCAAAAAACTATTTGAGGAGCCCAAAGAAACAGAGACACCGAGAGCTTCAGTCTGCTTATTGACTTCCCAGATGCCTAAGATGGTCAGTGCTGGATTCAGGAGCTGTTGTTCAGTAGGGAATGCAAGTCTTGGCTGCTAAGCCAAACATTGCACCCTGACTTACAAAAATTTTAATACACAAAAATTTGAGGAAAACATATCCCACATTTATTGCTGGGAGAGAAATACATTACTATTGCCAAATCACTGTCCTGTCTAGAGCAATATTCACTGGGTGAGGTTCTCCCTCTGAGTCCATTCCGGAATTTGTATGTCTGTAACAGTCAGCAAAGAGCATTAAAATAAATTCAGTACAAACTTGGCAACATTTTAGACTAAAGAAACCAAATTCTCTTCCAGAATTTTTGATTTGAAAGCTTCATCTAATTTGACAAGAAATAAGCAACTTTTCCTTTTCGAACCTTTTACTGTCTTGACAGCTGTTACTGCTAACAGCTCACCACACTACACAGACATGCTGAAAGGGGTGTGAACTTGCTCTACGAACTGCCCACTGGGTTGCAGAAGTCTGGGCCACTTTAAAATCAGCTCTGGGTGTTAAGTCTGGGGTTAGAATAGTTGTTCACTGCTCAGAAAGGACAATAGGGCTCTGGATTGCTGGCATTTTCATAATTGAGAAGTTTAAAATAGATAAAGCTCAACTATAACTGCCCTTCTTTCCTTTCCTCTATCCCCTCTGATGTCCCTTTCCTTGGAATCTTCCACACTGTGCAGGAGTTATGTCTTGCCATAGAAGCAAGTCATTTCTGAGCTTTAAGGTTGACCTGTGGCTGACTGGGGTGATGAGCTTTAGGAAGCACGCCTGTGATGATCTGCTGTTTCCATTCTATTCTGTCATTGGTTCCTATATAAAGAATTAGAATCCATGTTACTTGGTGAATGTCTTGGATAGCAGGGTTGTGAGCTGGTGGTGAGTACAGGTGATAGCAGAGAGAGCAGGACCTAAAAGCTGCAAGTCATCATGAAGCCAAAATCCTTCTTCTGTCCTGGGATTTTCTCTGCAGTGTTTGCAAATAAATGTCATTGCCACCATGTTTTCCCATCTGGTTCTCTCTCAGCCAACTTAGTGAACCCTAGGATCTTAAAGTTGCTTAATTATATTGCATTATTTGTATCTGGTTGCTGTGTTGATTCCCTTATTAATCTAATATTTGTTTCTTCACTCTACAGCTTTTAATTTAAAATCCTTTTTTTTTATCTGATATAAGTATAGCCATACCAGCTTGCTTATTTTCATTTGTATAGAGGGTTTCTCCCCTAATCTTTTCTATCCAGTCTCTGATAATGCAGTTTCCATTAGGCTGCACAGAGTTGTCATTTAAAAAAAAGTTCATTCAGCCACTCTGTATCTTTGTGAATGAATTCTCTAATTATGAGTAATAATTGATAGGAAGGGACATGTTAACTTCAGTTTATTCATTGATTTTTAATTACTTTTCAGATTCCTTTTTCCTTTCTTCTTTTCACTGATTTTGGTTACCTGATTTTCTTTAGTAATATATTTTGATACATAATTTCAATTTTTAGTGAACTGATTAGGGGATTTTGCTTTGTGGTCACAATGGTGCTTTGAAGTTTGAAATTATGTTAGTGATACGATAGAATACTCCTGCCTGGCACTTTTTTACCTTTCGCATTTGGAATGAGTTATTCCACTTGTCCCTGGCTAGTAATCTGTCCATTAAAAAATTACCTGCAAAAAGGGCGTATTTTATTTAAACTCGTTTTTTGTTATTTTTTGGGTGGGGGGGTGGGCAGTTTTCTTCTTTTTTTTTGATACAAAAGCTTCTTTTTTTAAAAAGATGAATCTGTGTACAAATGTATGCATTTATTTGAAAGAGTTACAGAGAGAGAGAGAGAAAGAAAGTAGGAGAAAGACAGAGATAAAGATATTCCTTCTGCTGGTTCCCTTTCCGAATGACTACAATGGTCAGGGCTGAACTGAGCCAAAGTCAGGAGCCTAAAAATCTATCGAGGTCTCCCACGTGGGCACAGGGGCCAAAGTACGTGGGCAATTTTGCAATGCTGTCCCAGGTGCATTATCAGGGAGCTGGATCGGAAGTGGAGCACTCAGGATTTCAACCAGCGCTGCTATGAGATGCTGACATTCCAGGTGGAGGCTTAGCTTCCACACAACACCATTCCCCACCAACCCTCTCTGTCTTTGGTCTTTGACAGTTTGATAACTCCAATTAAATTTACTAGGTGTATTACATCAAGCAGGAAGAGGAGGAAAATAGCTAACTTGAATAGAAATAGTATCCTAATTGATCTGAGGATATTTTGTATCTTGTTGGTTACATATACATGTTGAAAAAAAATCAAAACACATGATTGCATTAAAGCTGTGTTAAACATATACAGAGCAAAATTTGAGGAATGGGAGTTTAAGGCTGTATTTTTCTTCCTCTTGTTTGAGGGCATTGCTCCCAGGAAACCAGATTTATGCTTGGCAAGTAAAGAAAAGAAAGATGAAGCCCAATTTCTTCTCTTTTTTGTCTGCTGTATTCTTACTGAATATTTGAAATTAAGACTCATGCATATCTTCCTTGCACAATAATAGTCTGAATTCTATCAGCATTTTGGTTAAGGTGTAAAGGTGCATTGCCCTCTACTAGGAATATCGATTTTGCCTTGGCTTGGGTCCAACATTATCCTGTCTGAAGAAGGTCAGCTTCCAGCCTCGGTCATAGTTCTGGTTTATGATATTCACGGAATTCATCATAATCTGTGTTTAGTTTATTCACGTAAAGAATTTTCTGTAGTTTGTAGAATCAGTTCTAATGAAGAGTACTCAAAGATTAGAGCTGGGATCAGCAAATTTTTCTAGTAGAAGGAAAACTGAAATTTTAGGCTTTTAATAAAACACTCATTTAAAATGTAAAAACCGTTTGTAACCTGAAATGACTACAGAAACAGGCTCCAACCACACTGGCTCAGGACCGTGGACTGCTGACCCCTGGTCTGTGACTGTGTAACTCCGGGGCTTATTTTCTAAGTGCATGATTTTAAAAATTAGACTATCGTTATATTAAATGAGCCCAAACCTCTATCTTCTAGATTCAGTAATGAATCTCTATGAAAATTTCTCATTTTTACTCTTAATGAGAGGATTCTTAGAAATTTTTTCTGCTTTATGGGACTT